ATACTCCTAACGAATGCAAACGAGTAAACAAGCGAGTAAAAGCTTGAATCAAAAATCCCGAGCCCTTTCTTTCCTTTCCTCATCCCATCCATTCTGATAGAAAGAAAGAACGAACGAAAAAAAAAATCGACCGGGTATACGACAATGAATATAATTCCGTTATTGGGATGCCAACAACTACTAGGTATAATTTTTCGGCCACAGACCGATCAATTGGTGTAACGAGGAAGAGCATTGCGAAATTAATAGCTCAAATTTGCCTCATCCTCGTCATACTCGTCCTCCAAGTCAATCTGTCTTTGCTCATCATTCCAATCCCTCGTCTTGATACCCATCTTTGCCCTAACATCTCTCTGAATAGCCAAGAAATACTTCCTCAAACTCTTCAATCCTCTAAGGAATCCCAGATCCGGTTGATCGGGATGACGAGGTGGACAATTTCTTCCTGGTGCTAGACAATCTTCTCTGATTGCACAATTTGCGAAATCTGCCATCTTGAGATCAATCTCCCTTCTTCTGCTTAGAGGCTCAAATGTATTACTATCAGACTCTTCCTCTTCGTGCGTTTCTCCATCATAGAACAGGAGCAAGCTGGCAGCATAGAAGCGGTATCCGGGTAGACTTCTGATCAAAACCTCAAGTGTAGAAAGCTTATGAATCAGAGTCGGAATATGTCGTAAAATACTTCCATCATCGACACCATCATACAAGAATCGAGTAAGAGCCTTTTGAAAATCCGGTCCAGCTTTAAGATCTCTTCCGAAATACTTATCATGAAAGACGTACCCTTGAGTCTTCACATCCCAAACTTGCAGACCACAAACCCTTACACCTAGATCGTGAGATGTTGTCGCCTCACACTTGGTGCGTTGAGATTGCTGTTTTTTCTCCACTGCATCGATACCATATTGACGAGTTCCCATCTTGAGATCCATAATACAAGGCTTCTTCATGCCAGCAGTCAAATCTTCCAAGAGTAAGAAATATTGAATTCGTTGACCTTGCGTCTGGGCTTCCTTGGGATTGACAGGCCGAGGAGGAATTATAAGAGCGCTCGGTGTAATCTTTGGCGTGACTGGTCGTGTAATCATGGTCTTAGAATCAACTGGCGTCAATTCAGGAATGTCATTGACATTTCCAAGCTTAGGTGTCGGCTCCTCCTTTACAGGCGATGTCATCTTTTGTTCGTCTGTCGGTTCGGGGTCCATAGCAAAAACATCTTCTTCATCGCCCTTGTAACCAGCATCATCTGCCTCTTCAAAATATTTGAGATTGCCTCGATCATCAGCTACTTCCGTAGGCCTACGACGAAGTCCACCACTAGAAAACCGTCTCTTTGGTCGTTTAGGAGAATCTTGAGGTCCTGCAATCTCAGGCTCAGGAGCACTAGTGCCAGCCATATAATCGAATTCATCGTCATCTTCTCCATTTTCGACATGGCCGTGTCCGTTCACTTTGGAATCATTGGTCGACACTGGCGGGGCAGGGGTAACAGGTGTCATTGGTGAGAGCCCAGTCTTTTGTTCAGCCGCAGATTTGATAGCTCTTGTGCGCATTGAGTCTTTAGGTTGTTGGCCATCGCCCATCTTACTTGATTGAACTTTCAAGCTAGATTCCGAATTAGCATTTCGTAGCGAGGCACCGTTACGCATTGCTCGGTTTTGCGTTCCTAGCTTCTTATGTCGATGAATGGGGATTGGTTGTTGTAAAAATGCTTCGCCAAAGACTTTGTTTCGGAGTTCCTTGTTAATGGTGGTTGCGCCCCAACTGACTGCATGCTTGTCTGATAATTTGGGACGAAATGTGAAATCACCGCTGGGTGGGGGTTGAGTTTGACTTTGACCTTTTTGCTGGTGAGACTCCTTAGTACTAGGGGCCTCGACGGGGTCAATTAAATGAGGATGAGGTTGTAGAAAGCTTTTTGGTATGATGTGTCTATTGTCGGCAAAATTGACAGTGGCTATAGGAATAGAAGATGTTTTGAGTGACTGGCTGATCATCCTCGGTGGCTCTGGGGTCTTGATCGAGTTTGCCTGCCCATTCGTGCCGGTCGAGGTAGCAGCATCATCTTTTGTCAGTTGTCCGTCAGTACCATTGGATTCGGCCGTGGCATCTTTGTCATCCTTGGGTGGGACTTTTGGTCGCACATGCTTTTTCTCCAAAGTCACATTCAAAACACCAATATATCTAAACATCAATCAAAATAAGTACATTAGTTCAGGTTGAAACTGGTGCCTGAGGAAGGACTTGGTATGTTGTCTTGATGAAGACTCAGCTTCAATGCCAGAAGCGGGGATGAGTCAATGAAATACACACGTACCTTGGAAGAAATTTCATAAGTTGCGGATGTTTTTGCTCGCAAATCTCGTAAAACTTATTTTCACCATTATTTAATTCCTTGCAAACTGCACGGTTTGAAAATCTCCACATGGTGGTGTGGCCACCGACTTGATGCTTGTAGGGAATTAATTCAACGGAGCCTTTTGATTTTCTAGCTTCGTCTTGTTCTTCGGTGACATGTATCTTGGGTGTCGGCACCCTGAAGCTACGACGACGCCTTGAAGATGTGGGTGTTGCCTCAGGATCATCAGTTAAGCTTGACTCTTCATATGCCGTGGATTCTCCTTCATCGTATGAGTCATGATTGGGGTCATAAGTATCTGTAGGAGTAATATAGCCATTGCTTTCTGCTGCCGGCTCATGCTGCTTAGGAAGACGTGGCGATGGTAGTGGTCGTGATTTACCTTCTTGACTTTCATAAGTTTTATCTACTTCACAAGATGGGACTCGATGTTCTTCAAGCCACTGTTGTGGGTCTGAATCTTCTGATTGGACTTGATCATTACCCCCAGCCCTTGCGACAAGGTCTACTCTGTCTCGCAGGCCCTCTCCTCTCCGTTCAGATGTACCATGGGGGGTCTTGTGAGGAACGAATAACGCCGATGAGATCTTCTCCTCGCCGGATTCATCACCGTCATCACGACTCTTAGTCTTCATTAGTTTAGTACCATCTTCACTGTCTTCTCGATCTAACTGAGGCTTGCCTAATGAATTCTCCTCGCCCGAATCCGACTTGGACTTCTCAGATGCTGGAGCGGGTATACTTCTTGAGAAGGAAGATCCTTTCGCATTACCGGGTGTCAAGTTGTGATGCTTGCGTATATCCGCGAGTAGCTGTGAAGGCATTCGTCTTACTTTGTCTGGCCGCAGAGTTTCAATACTGTGAGATGGATCAAAGTAATCAGTTTCGGTAGCCAGTCCCTCGGTAGGGTTGGGAGTGAATTCGTAACCGTTGCTGTGGGCGGATGACTTGGTAGGCGACTTCGGATCTGGAAAAGGTGATAACGGTTCACTTGCAATGCCTCTTGTATCTATCGTCCCACCTTCTAGTATGCTACTGATCCTAGCAGAAGAATTTGCATCTTTTGGATGAGCTCTGTTCTTGTTTTCGCGCTTCTTCGTCTTATCTTCTGGCAGACCTTCTCTAAAGAATCTCAGACTGTGACTTGCTTTGCGACTGCGGTTGTTGTGCTCGACTCCCGATAAAGCTTCCGCAATAGCCTTTTCGACCGAACCCCCTTGGTCATCATCCCCTTGCTCGCAGATTGACCAGGCCTTCTCCACAGGTGGGCTTGTCCTGGCATCTCTCCATGATCGATAGCTAGCTCGGACTCCATCTACAGGGGGGTTATCTGAAAGTGACCGGACTGGTTCTTGCGTGGGTGTGGATGGTCGAGTTATGATGGCAGTATCGCCCGGATTGGTCGAGAAAGACCCCTTTGGTAAATCCTGGACTCTCTTCTCCTTCGCTGTTCGTTCAAGAGAGGTTCCTCTTCCTTTAACATTTGAACTTCTAAAGGGGTCCCGGTGACCAGAGAGAGCATGATTGACTTGATCCATATCGAAGATCAATCCTGTGGAGACGAATGGCGTTGCCCCGGCACTGACAGGTCTGTTGGAAATGAGTCCGTTTGGATTGAACCTAATCGAAGCTGTACCAATGACCGCGTCGCTCAAGTCCTCTGCCAAACTCCTGGCTCTCTCATTCTGATATTGATTGTTCGAGGAAGAAGGGCGTGGCTGTCTCATGCCGGAGGATGGATTTTGAGGTGTGCGGGGAGTTGGATCGATATCGGTTGCCGCCGATTCTTGATGATTGAAGGATAGAGCTTGAGTTAACAAAGAGGATGAATTTGCACTTGATGAAGTTGGTGGCGCGTTGGCCCTTCCTTGTGCTTCATGTTGATCGCCATGCTGAGAGATCTGTTGACCTTGCTCAGTACTCACCGGAGGGGTGTGTGCGGCATTTCTGGAGTCAGTAGGGGAGTTTGACATGAGGCGCACATTTATCGAATCCAGTGACAGTGTGAGAAAATGATTCGCAGGTATTGAACCTTCTTTTTTTTTTCAATGGCTGGATTGAGTCTGGGAAGAATGAATTGAAAGCCAAGGATCAATCAGGCAAGGATTTACGATCAGGGAAAATGTATGTTTGATAGAAGAATAAATTCTCTAGGAAACAACAGAAGAGATCTCTTGAAGCTAGTAAAAACACGTGGAAATTCTCTTCTTGATATAGAAAATAGGAAATTCTATGGAATTGGATGAATTGGATGGAATTTCAGTGTTTTGTACTTTCTTCTTCTTCTTCTTCTTCTTCTTCTTCTTCTCCTTCTTTCTTTTTTCGATTGTCTGTCCCTCTTCTGTTCTTTGATAAGGTTAAAAAAAACAACCACAACAACTGATTTTCCTCTTGTCTTGTTCTTTCCCGATTATCTGATATATTGTTGGATGAGCTTGATATGTTATCTGTGCAGCGTAGTGTGATGTAGTGAAGTAGTGTTGTTGATGTTGTTGTTGTTGTTGTTGTTGTTGTTGTTGTTGTTGGGAGGATTGGTATCCGTATTGATTCATCAATTGGAAGAAAGAGGAACGGAATGAATAGTAAGGTACAGACAGGTACGGGTACAGGATAGGTTGGGTTGGGCTGAAAGTTAGTAATGAAGTTACCAGGTATCCGCTGTAGTAATCGAACTTGTAAGAGGTTAAAAAAGTGGGCAAGAAGTGGTCACACAGATAAATGGAGAGGGGCCGAAGCAGGACAGGAACAAGAACAAGAAGAACAAGAAGAACAAGAACAAGAACAAGAACAAGAACAAGAACAAGAACAAGAACAAGAACAAGAACAAGAACAAGAACAAGAACAAGAACAAGAACAAGAACATGAACAAGAACATGAACAAGTGCAGTTAAACTTTTGATTCAAAACAGGAATGAGTACTTATAGTATCTAGATACTAGTAGTACAATCATGTAGAATCAAATCTTTATCATTCTTACACTAATAAATGAAATGGTTGAAACAAAACCAACCATTGAATGTCGATGGACATATTACAAAAAAAGCATATCACGTTCAGCTGGGCACGAATCAAAAAACGTAATTTGGGCTTCGAGAGCATGACGAATGAAGTTGAAGTGGAAGTGAATGGTAATGGTGACGGCGGTAGAGAGAGAGAGAGAGAGAGAGAGAGAGAGAGAGAGTAGGTGAGTAATGTTCAAAACATGTGCATATTTACTTATATCATTTTGCTGCGTCGATATCAGTATCGGAATTGGTGTTGGTACGTACTATCTATCAAATTACCTATTACCTATGTAGGTAGGTGGAAGAGCATAGGGCTGTCACACACACAACCTTACACATATACCACGTAGTATGACGGGTGACGGTAAGGGATCGATTACCTTCAAATCCGATAATTAATAAGTGATAGAATTCTATGACTGGGGTTGATGGAAAGAGAACCGAGAAGGAACCGTATTATCCATCCATCGGCTTCCATTTTAATTCCAGAAGCCGATGAAGTCACGGAATGAATGAGATTGGTTAATTAGATGAGAATGCGGATTGTCGATTGTCGATTGTCGATTGTCGATATCACACTGGAAAAAGCAGCGTGTCCACTGTCAATCCATCCCACCGGTTGATCCAACTACTATTATCATATAAGAATTCTAGAAACCATGATCTAACCTGGTGGACATCAACTTTATTACTTCTTACATGGCAGGCACACTAAACACCTACCTACTTATTTAGTACTTAACGCGGGTCCCCATTAGATTAAAAAAAAACATCCATTCCCTTCTCCCGCAAAACCCATTCATTCTCCACTTCCACTTTCACATCCGACTCCCATTCTATCATCATGGCATGGTTCTTTCTGCATCCTTATCAATCATCAATGCCAAGTGACGATGGTACTAAGGGGGGGAGGCAATCGAAATGGAGATTTACTATTAAAGCGTGGCTTACTAGGTATTTAGCATCCAGATAAGCATCTTATCACTCTACCACACCTATATCTATCCGATAACCCAGCTACCTACACTGTGATCCCATTACCCCATTATCCATCCGAATCTCGAATTTAGCCATTTACCTCTACATACATACCTACCTACCTACCTACCTACCTAGTATCTAACCACTAACCACTAACTAATCTTCCCCTCCAAGTTCCAACCCTCCCTCCATCCATCCATCCATCCATCCATCCATCCACCCTTTAAAACAACACACCCAACACCCAACTCTATCTCCATCTCCATCTCCATCTCCATGCAAATCAAACTCCAATAACCATCCCCCATCACAAAACGTGGGATCATCGATAAGTAATCCCTCGCTCCCACAAATTTCACCATGGCCTCCACGACACCCCAATATGCATTCCATTGGTCAGAAACTACTCGAGTAGAAGCGGTCAACCATACTCGTATACTGTACTTTGTAAAAGAATTGACTTTGCGGGGGAAAGAAAATGGTCTTCCTTCCGGTAGGTAGGTGCCTCAAATATTGTTACAAACTAGCACTGCCCATCTAGATACCGGTGCAAATAATTGAAAACTTCTAAACTCAATTTCCAAAGATCGAACGAATCACAAAAGATCTCAGGTAATTATGTACTATAACTACGTACAACTATAACTTCATCATAAGATCATCTGTCCATGTCCAGGCTATGTAGGTAGGTAAGCAAGGGTATTCTATTCATCTCGCATCCCATCCGTTTCATCCGGTACCGATATTCCATCCACCCATCCATCCATCCATCAATCCATCCATAACACCAAAATCCCAGCAATTTTACACATCAACTTGACACACTCATGAAAACAGCCCCTTTCGCTACAATACCCTACCCCATCATGTCCATATATTCTCAACAGAAAACATGCCTCGTAAATGTAAACCACTATCCCGTTTCGGCGTTGCCAATTCAAAATCCGTACCAGCTTTATTCATTTCCCCTTCTACCGACCAACCCCCTCCTAAGAAATCTTCCGCTTCATTCAGGAAATCTCCCAACATATGATCTCCCAATTTTGCATTACTAGAAGTTTCATTCAGAGCTGAATGTGTAGATAAACAAGAATTTGACACTTGGCTTCCCAAATCACCTTCATCTACATCCTCAAAAGTTGTGTAGCTTTGACTTTTGGATTTCCGTCTTCGTGAAGGACTTGTTGTGAGACGACGTTCTCGCTCTCGTGAAGAATGGCGATCAGCTGAGATGAAGGCTTCTGCCATTGCATCAATTGCCGGGCTACTGGCAATCAGGTTGGTCGCACCCGAAATTGTGGTCTTGTACTTCGAGATCGAAGAAGGGCGCTGAATGGAGCTGTTGGATTTCAGTGTACCAACACCCACAGATTTTCTACAAATTGCGGAGAAGTGATTTTGGAAGCTATCAATATTTGTGATATTGTCGTCAAACTCAGCCCTTTTACTTCCGAGATCCCCTGGGCGATATGAGCTCTCTGGAGACGGGGAGCGACGTTGACGCTGTGAGCTACGTTGAGATTGGGATGGATCTACTTCATCCAATATTCCGAATGATACTCGCTTGCGTTTCGTACTCTTCTTCTTGGAGCCATTTACCCACGGATTCAGTGTAGCGGCCTCTACGAGAAGCTGTGTATTGGATGGCCGTTGGTCAATTTCTGGTGTATTTAGTTCTTTTGGTGGAGGACTTGGTGTCATGAGATCACGGAAAGGTCGAATCATATCAATATCTGGCGTGACTGGGCGCTCTTCTCTCTGCCAACCAGAACTTGGAAATTCGTCAGTAGTCTGTGGTTCGAAAGTTTCAGTACTTGCAAGTAATTGAGGAACAGTTCTCAGTCCCGCTTCAGCTGGTGCCCAAGGACTCTGTGGGCTGTCATTTTGAATGATCTTTTGATCTTCGGACCGAATGATTGAAATAGGAGCTTCGACAGGCCTGTTATCTTCTGAAGGAATAGCTACGATTTCTTCCCTAACGCCTAGAGATTCGGTAAGATCCTGGTAGCTCGCTGGTGAGAGGACTTCTTCTCTACTAGGTATCGAGGGCGTAAATTGGTCTAACATAGTGATTTTGGAATTTTGGTTAATGCTTCTGGATTTTTGAGATGATGTGAGGTTGTTTGTTCGTGCAGGTGATGATGACGTTGATGTTTGGCCGCTAGAAAGAACCGAATTTAGGGCGTCATCGGCATCGGCCTCCGTCCGCATAACTTCCTGCACCTCTTCCGGCATATTCTGAGCCACACCTTGCATACCTCCTTCGTCTTGGATTTTTTCAGAAGTGGTTATTATATCAATATTAGATTTTTGGTTAGCTTGCAGCTCGGTAACCTCCTTAATCTGTTCGCTCTCAAGCGCAATATTCGTCACCGAGGCGACTCCTTCTGTCTCAACTTCTTTATTGTCATCCAATCTCTGGACACATTCCAAGATACGACCTTCAAGATTGTTCTCCTGGGTCATTTCAGTGGCTTCTGCGTTAAGTGTGGCTGCCATGTCATGAGGAGATTGCTGATTGTTGTCCAAATTTTGTGGCAGATCGGGGACTTGTGAAGATTCATGGGTATTCACTATTGACTTGGCTGGACTGGTAATGTAAGATTGTGTACTCGACCCATCGAGATTATTGTAAGGTGTTGGCACATCGATTTGACTGGAAATTTGGGGGAGAGTCGGTAAATGGGGCGATGTTGTTGAGACAGGGTGTGTAGATCGTGCAGGAGAGGGATTTCCAAGGCGTGATGATTGTAGACTACTTTTATACTCGTAGTCCCCAAACATGGGAGCCTCTGTATGCTCAAAAGGAATTGGCTGTCCCAGAAAACTCGAACTTTGATAGATCTGCGTGATGTCCATTGAAGCGGATGATTTTGGAGCATGATTAAGGTCATCTTGTGTTGTAACCCAGCTATCATCGATATCCTCGTGTTGTGGACGATGTTCTTCTCTAATTGTTTTATCAGAATGCATTGTCGATGGAGTAAGTCCAACTTCTTCTTGTGTAGTAAGCCAACTTTCATCGGCCCGAGAACGTCTACGAGATGAACCTTTGGATCTTGAAGATTTTGTTCGCCAAAGCGGAGATACTGAGGTTACTTCCACATTCTCGGTTGAGTGTAGAACCGAGGGAGTCGAGAGCACTGCATCGCTCTGAAGGTTTGGGTAGGACTTAATCTCTTCAGGTAATGGAACTTCGCTACCTTCTCTTCTAACAGTCATGGGCTGACTAGGGACGTCTGGGGAAGCAGTCTTGCGTCTAGACTTCTTTCGAAACTGAAATTGTTCCAAGTTGACAGAAGAGGGTGCAACATCCGTGACAAAACTGATATTTCCAGGAGTTTCCTGATTTTCAAGAAGTGCGGCATCAATTTTAGGATGTGAAGGGAGTTGCGGAGAAGTCACCGATTTTGTTGGCGAAGGCTGCTGGACACAAGCTTCTTTGCTCTCTGGGCTTTCAAACGGTACAGGAGAGCTGAGCCTAGGCGATTCCTCGTGCCTATAAGTGGATTTGCTACAGGATTCCAAGATGGAAGAGCTGCGGAGTTGCTGGCCTTGTTGTCCGATATTAGTGTGAAACGATACTCCCGTATCAAATGCGTCGCTACTTGGTTGCTGCGGAAATGCATAGTTCTCCGGTGTAGGTAGCTTTTGTTGTGGAGCCTCTAGTAAGAAATCGGATTGCGGATTAATTGTATGCTGAGTCCGCTTCTGTACAATAGTTGTAATGCCTGTGACCTTTTGTTGGAGTTTCTGACTGTCTACATGAGGTAGTGGGGTGGGCGATGAGACTGCTGGGTCTTCCCAGCGAGCTCGTTTCGAGACATGAGAGCCTTTCAACCAAGCTACCTCCACAGGTCTCTTGACAGCAGTCCATGTTTCCGACCGTCTAACATAACCATCTTTATTCGAAATCGAGCTTCCCGTGGTTGGTGCATATTCAAAGCCCCTTAGTTTCCCAGATGTAGGAAGTGATGATTTTGAAACCTGTGGCAAAGATGGTTTAATTATTTGATTGCCTTCAAACATCCTACCTCCTTTTTTGATAATTGTATCTTCGTGTATGGTCTCATCCACCAGTATTCTATTTGGGCCACCCGAGGACTCACTCCCCATTTCCATATAGTCGTTCATTTCCAATTCTTTTGCTTGTCGTTTAGCGTCTCTTCGACACCATGCAAGTGCTTCTGAGGGACTCATATCCTTTCTGCCATGTTCCCGAGCTCGTTGCATAACATCCTCCTTTCTAAATAGCATGTCTTTTGAACCAGGTTTCCACCAGTCCCCCTCTCGATGTCTCCAAGGATTTACCCACTCGTTGAGAGGACCTCTTAGTTGCGCAGATTGTATGATTGGCAGTTGTCCACGGTCCACCCTTTCCGCACATTGTTCGTATCGCTGTCGTTTTTTGATTATTGCTCTCGGATTCGCCTCGGAATCAGAACCCTCACAAATGAGGTCTTCTGGCTTGCATGCTGGAGTAAAGTAAAATGGCTCGTCATCGTTATCGGAGGTGAGCGAGGACCTGCTCATGTGGAGAGACATTCTTGCAAATAGTTCATATGCTACATTCCAATAGTTGGGTTGTGTCTCAAAGTGTGAATGTGATCACAGAAAAGTAATCAGTTATCGCATTTTGATGTGGCTGACCAGACAACTCTTTTCGTGTCTGCGTGTTTTGGCGGGGACTCGAAAACACGTGACACGTGGCACTGATTTAAAGTGGTTTTTTCAATCATTAACCTTCTCTCGCAGCACACATTTTTGGGTTCAACTCAAACCTTTCGAGCCTTTGATTGGAGGCTATTGTTCTTTTTCTAATTCAGTAATTCAGTCCGGATATTCAAGACCTCGAAGTCACACATAGTATCCGACTTTGCAATGAAGGATTGAGCAATATAAAATGCAATCATTGGCCATGTGCTATCGAGAGCAACACAATGAATGCTCTTCCCTTCGTACCTCGTCTATTCAGCCCCGAGAAAGGATATGTACGAATCTCATGCAGAAACATTTCAGTAAGTACAAGCCCGATCTTACATGAGAGCTGCACGGGAGTATGGTGAGATATCTACCTACTTTACTTGCGTTGATATCTCAACAATGTTGAGCAGGTACCAGCAGGTTACTGTCCCAATACGTACTCATGATCGAAACCACTTTGGATGAGAAGTCAAGGTTTATATTGGCCAACGATATACTTCCAGTACGATCCGCTTTAATAAGGTTATCGGAAGATTAAAATACCTAATGAACTGATTTGGGACTTGGTAATCAAGAGGATAAATAACATCTGGAATACCTGCATTGCCAACTCAATTGAGCTCCGCAATATGTCCAAATATTTCAGCCTTTCATATCCCTTGACAAACAAGAAAGAAGTAGTTTGCTGAGAACTGCCATACTGAATGAGTGTCATAGTATCGTCGAGCTCGAGCTGTAGCTGTCGGTACGAACGAGATCACATGAATCTTCATCTACTCCATACTTATTAGTATCATGCCTAGTACCTTGCCTTACTACACTGCGTACCCTTTTTCCTTCTTTCCTTGCTTTATGTATTATTTTTGGATCCATTCGACGTGGGGTTGAGACTGTAGTGGCTTGGAAGATTAATTACTGTGATCTCCTACCTAGTCCTGTTTTTGTTTTTGTTTTGATAGGCCATTTCCATTGTTTTCCTTGTTCCTTCCTGCACGACTTTTATCATTAAAAATGTCCAAGTGCCAACCCCCAGCCTAGACCACAATTCAATGTTTCAATCCCACTTCGCGACCATCTCAATTCACCACACTCTATTCTACGGCTTTTAAGTATGTTAAACAACCAATAAATTCTATTCTACTCACTACCTTGGGAAATGTATATTGTCTCAAGACTCATTTATACAATTAACATTGCATACGCTTAGACGCGACATTATTTACGCGATCGTTCACTTCAACAACAATAATAAACAACAAACATTCAGCACAAGACAAATCCGAATTCATGCTCACTGCCCATAACCTTGCGAATCTATCAAGATGGACCAGGCCTGGTTAGATTCTCTCTCCGAAGACTGGGTATCTCAACCTCGATCAGAATCTCCACCTCGATCAGAATCACCAGAGCCCGAACTCCCATCTCTCACCAATGGCACATCTGATTCTTCAAATTCCCGTCCAACAACTGCTCCGCCTAGTCGCATACCGAAGTTTGATGCAGAGACGAAATCTTGGTCGAATCCACCGGATAGTAATCCATTGAGCGAAAGGAGTCGGAACGAGAATAACATTCCCTTATCCCAGCGAAACCATCAGCCATCAAAACTACGAAGTGAGATACCGCAGAGCCCAAGGAGCGGGAAAGTCTCTCGTCCTTTGTCGGCTTGTAGCACACACACAACAGAATACAATACAATACAGCACAACAAATCTCTCAGCGCATCGCCCAAGAAGAGCTCAAAAGATACACCGGAATGGAAAAGGAGGCTGCTCCGAGGGGATGTCGGATATGGCGAACAGCGCGATCTATTTAGCGCCGCCGGTCTCGAGACGATATTTCAACCACCGCCTGCCGAACCTTTAATAAAGAAGCCACCCACCTTTGGAGAAAGTAGTATCATGCCATCCAGTCCCCCCCTCTATCGCACAAGATTGGAGCCTCCACGATTTGACGACAGCGAGTTATCATCTGAGGATTCTGTGCAAGGAGATGGGAATGTTCTACGGGGCATGAGATATAAGGTGACGGAAGATTTTGGCAGTGAATTTTCTACAAACGATTTGAGTCGAGGAAGCGATTTCAGGCCCACGGTATTGAATACTCTGAGCCCCGTCAAGGAACACTTTTCTCCTTCCGACTCTGTTTTTAACAACGACAAACTCGGCACCAAAAAAGAAAATCTCGACGTAGGGCGAACTATAAGCGGGCAAAGTGACAAGAATAATGAGTTCCTCTCGCCGATATACTTAAAACCACAGAGCACCTTGCCTGACAAGGCAGTTGTTTCACCGATGGATATATCACCTACTGAACTCCAAGAACGTCTAGAAAAGCTTCGCGCCGACGACTCAGATGCTGATGAAATAGAAGACCTCCAAAGCGCTTCCCGGCCTATCACTGGGGATACGGATGATTTTAAACACAACGGACAATTTGTCAATGCTCGAAGAGGCGGTCATTCTGAAGAAGGTTCTTTCCAAAAACGAATGCTGAGTCCTTCTTCCCTCCCACAAATCGATGAATCAGCCTTATCAGTTGATGATTCTCGACACGATACCCCTGAGAAGCAACTCCCGAAGATACGAAAAACAAGAGCCTCCAATGAGCTTCTAGAGCCACCTGTAAACCTACAATCTCCTCCCATCGCGCCAATGCCGCATCCCAGCCCAGTCAAATCCCCCGTCAAGAGCAATTCCGGTAGTCCATTGAAATTGTTTGGTACTCATGATACGTTTACAAGTCAAAAGCTTCTACGTAGACTCAGTCAATACGAGGAGGATCGGGGAAGTGAGCTCGAACCAGATGTGCCACCAAATACTGCTCATGAGGCCAATCATCCCCATATCGACAATGCAGATGATAGCCGGCCTGTATCGGAAAGTAGCTATTTCCCAAAAGAGCGTAAGACAAGGAGATACAGTAGTTTTGGCGTTGGCGACTTGGATACTTATCGGTTCAGCGAGGATGCCTCTTTTGAATCGAATGGATCTATCTTACACAACGATGATGAAGAAAAGCTCGATCTCCCTGTCCTCGATCCGAAGTCACAAACAAGATTTAGTTTTCGACTAGCTTGTTCACCAGGCGTTAAGGAAGGTGAAGAAAGACGAAATAGTGGCAAATACAGAACTGCCAGCAATAGTACCAGCAGGCACCGCAGCTTGAACGTTAGAAAGAGATCTAGCACTGGCTCTACATCGCCATCTACAGTCTTGCCCTCGTTTCAAATCAACGAAAACCTCAAGACACCCAGGAGATCGAATGGTGAGGCGGAAGGAAAACGACTTATGAGATCCCCAGCGAAAGATTCAACGCCAAAGAGACGTCGGACACTGCACAGAGCGGACATTTCTCTTCCACTACAACCTGAAGAACCACTGGTCTTACTTCCTGGTCCTTCGCGTCCATCCACACAGCCAGCTATGGGTAAAACACGCCAATACAATGAGCGAAACGTTCAAGCTGCTGATCCGAAGATACTTGCAATGCGACAACTACTTCGCCCTCGGACTCCCACTCCTAGTCAGCGTAATAGTCAAGAGCACGAAGAAGCCCCCTTTGCTGAGTCAGGCCTCACATCGGACGAACGTGCAAGGCTATTGCAAGAGCAAAAGATTGCTATGGTACAAGCTGAGCTTGATCTGGCCAACCCAGATAGGCCTCTTAGCTCCAGTCAGCAATCTCAGGAGAGTCGAAAACCCTCTGTAACTACCCAGGACTTTCTAGACGAGGCGAAGAAGATTATGGCAGGCATTCGCGGTAGAGCAAGACCTCGTAGTGGTCTTACTAGCGTAGAAGAGTCGGAGTCCGAAAATGATCGTGCTCCATCAAACAATGCAGCAGATGACGAGTTGGAAGATTCGTACCAGGAATCAACTCAGGAGCTGTTTGAAAGGCCACCAAGTCGCGAAGGTGCCCCAGTATCAAGAACGCCGACAACTCAAGACCCAGAGCTTTTAAATCACTTACGCAAATACGAGGAGAACAGTGAAATGGATGGCATCATTGCTTCATCCATAAAGTCTATGGCTATGGCAAAAGAAGTTGTCAGAAATGCGAGGGAAGTTGACAGAATGGCAGACGAAACAATCTCAAGATCACTTGGTCACTTCTTAGATCCTATCAATGCAGTTCAGAGCGAACCTGCCAATATCCGTATATCTAACAACCCAGATATTCAGCGAAAACGTAAACACTCTGGCTCTTCGCGACAACTGGACGAAGAATATGATGACCTTGATTTTTTCACACAAGGTTCGAACAATTCCATACCCACAACGTCATCCAGAGGTTCGGACTCGAGGCGTGTAATTGCTCCACATACAGTATCTCATCTGATACCAGAACAACTTGCTGGCATGGTTTTTGATCGAGATCGGAATATCTGGGTAAAGAGGAAATCTACTAGAGAAAATGATGGGCAAGATTCCCCTATTTCCGAAGGAAGTGAAGAAGATCCTTTTGAAGACATTCCTGATTTGTCATTTGATGAAACACAAGAGCTCATGAGGCTAAGGGCTGTTGCTGCCAAACAAAAGGAAGACGCACGATTACGCTTGGCCGAATATCTCGACAACGAAGGACAGCACGGTGCCTTGAGTGGCCAATTCTCGCCTCAAAAGACTTCGAATATGAGCGTTCCGCAGGTGGATAACAGACCCCGGTCAGCACCGTCAGAGCCCATCCAAAGTGCCGTAGATAGTCCTGTCCCAGAGATAAAGGTTCGATCCGTCTCTGTAGGTGAAGATAGCATCCTACATCCAAAAAAGACCCGGCACGGGGATGTAAACAAGTCTGCTTTTGGAAGTCATAGCTCAACTGAGGGCAAAGCCCCAGAAGAGAGTAGGAGACTGGCCGAAGACGATGCTTTCATTCAACCAGATAGAGACCTGAGTACCACAACTCCAAAACGTCAAAGGAATGTTACAATCACTTTCTCGTCTCCTATTGCGGAGCTTATCGAGCCGCCTACTTACCATGATGATGATAGCTCAGCGAAGGGGGGAGCTTACCAATCCGATGATGACAGTGTCAACGAATCGGATAGCGATGATGGCGGGAGTATTCGAGTTAGAAAGGGAAAATCTAGACAAGGTAGCGGAAATCATGGATATAGAAACAACTCTCGTAGGCTATCGGTAGGAGGGCAACAATTCTTGCCGCGTCCAGTATCACGAATTGATGAGCAGGACGAAGAGTCTTTCAACAAAGAAAGAGGTGGCAGGAATAAATCTGGAAACAATCTCCTCCCAACACCATCTATCTCGCCAAGAAGGGTTAATAGTGTAGTGCTCGCTACACCGCGGCCCATTCACGAAATCGGGACTCTTGAACTTACTCCACTCTCGGAATTCACGATGCATCAAGCAGACGAATCTTATGGGATGGACGTGAGCTATGTGGCAAACGGGCAACAGCATAATGCAGGGCCTTCTTCAAAGACAACACTTTCTCATTCGATCAAGGAAATGGTTGAAAAATTGACCGAGATAGAACCATACGAGCCATACTGGGAGCATATGAAGAGCGCCAATCTGCATAGGAGGAAACTGACAAACTTGCATAAACTGGACGAGTTTTGTGAGCACTTGGAGGAACTGAAAGTTTCCAAGAACGAAATTAGTCAACTGAACGGTGTTCCCTCGTCACTTCGCACGCTCATTATTAACCATAACCGCCTTTCTGATCTTACATCTTGGGGCCATTTGTGGAATCTTCAGGAAGTCGATGTCTCCAACAATGAGATTGAAAGCCTCTCCTGCTTCAAAAACTTAGTGCACCTAAGAAGCTTACAGGCAAACAACAACCAAATCACTTCGCTACATGGTATTGGAACTCTAGATGGCTTGATTACACTTAGACTTCGAGGCAATCCGATTGAGACACTGAACTTCGAAGGAACAAACCTCAAACACTTAGAACATCTAGACCTTAGAGGTTGTCAAATTTCAGAAGTCAAGAATATCGGGCATTTGCCGAAATTGTCGAGCCTTGATTTGGAGAACAATAAATTGGTCAGTTTCATGACATCAGACGATACATGCTCGGCTAGAGAAGTCAGGTTGAGCTTCAACAACCTTGAATCTTTCAATGCGAATCTCACACCCGAGATTCGCATTCTCTATCTGGATTCCAATCGAATCAAGACAATCACCGGCCTCCTCCACAAAAGAAATCTTTATAGTCTCTCAGTGCGTGAACAGCAATCTGGTACGGTTCTGGACAAATCGTTTCTCCGTGAGGCTTTCGAAGTGAGAAAGTTGTTCCTGTCCGGTAATCACTTGGGAACCTTCGATCCTGGTGTCGAATATCTCAATTTGCAATATCTTGAACTTGCAAACTGTGGTATTACTTCTCTACCAGATGATTTTGGTCTTATGGTGGCAAATGTAAGAGTTCTAAATCTCAACTTTAACGGGCTGCAAGAGTTTCAAAGTCTGCTTGGTATTGTCCGTCTCAAGAAATTGCTCCTTGCCGGAAACCGTTTGTCTAAAGTAGAGAGACTTACAAGAACCTTGAGAGCGTTTCCTCATCTAACTACTGTCGATATGAGAAACAATCATGTTAATCATAACTTCTACCCAATAGCATTGGAAAGATGTTTGATCAAAGATGGCGGGCTCGAGAGAAATGACCTGGATGTTATTGATCCATATTCTCTTGGCAATGCAGATCCAGTAAGAGATGCTCATTACATCTCATGTTCGGATATGGCAACAAGATTGATGCGACGTGTATATGAAATGCTCGTATTTGGAAAGAAAGGCGACAATCCGAAACTACAGAAGTTGGATGGTCTTCCAATCAATAGAGAGGTCTCAAAAATTCGAGACGACGTTTGGGATAAGCTTCTTGAAATGGGTTATATAAAGTCATCGGGAAAATCCAAAGGGAAGACAAATGGTGGTCCAACCGAGGATGAGAAAACAGAAGAGAGCTTGTTAGGAGGAGATTTTCATCAGCATACCCCCAATAAAAGTTCATTGGATGAGATAGCTAAGAAGACGGAAGGGTCCCAACATCACCGATCCGATAGTATTGACGCTGGGCAAAGAGTTCAAGGCCCACATGATACGAAATGTAATTTCGAAAACATCGAAAAGAAGGTCGAAAAGCCACCTGCTGGCAGTTTTGGCAAGAAGGTCGTGGAGCCTAAAGTTGATGTAAATCCGATTATTCGAAAGAGCTCTACACAAAAATCAACAGGGTATGATATTGCGCAAGAGAGTACCGGAAATCATTCCCAAGGTGGGCAAGCATTTAATACTTACAAACCCAAGGCACAAGTTCCGCTGGACCTCAATTCCCGGGGGAGTAGAAATGTTGAAGCACCTGAAGTCGACTCGGCATCAGGACCATCCACAAGGAAGAAGAATGAAATAACACGCAACATAGAGAAAATTATCGCTGAGAGTCAAGCTACTGTTGCAAAACACAGGGCCTTAGTAAGACGTATGGATGAGGAGGTTGGAGAAAGCGTGTCCGAACCGAAGCGGATAGAAACCAATAGACCTAAGGCTGGATTTCCACCTCCAGTAATTCCACTCGCCAATCAGGCTATTTACCAGCAACAACCATCACAAAATTTTGGAGCTAGCCCCCCAACAGCTGCTCAATTAAAAAAGGAGCTGGAGGAGATGTTGCAGTCATTCGAGCGTGAGACAAAGTCGAAAGAGGCCAAACTGTTGAATCGAAATCGATTTGACCATGGGTCTTCCATTCGACAGAGCAGCCGAAGCAAGCCAGCTAGCAAGAGTGGCGCTAAGAAGGTTGAATTCGCTGAAGGGAGTAAGGAGGCTAATGCAAGCAAAGAACCCCGCTGGCCAGCTGAGGATAGCTTCGCTTGAGTAGCGAAAGTTACGAATTATGGATAATTACGAGTAATGCGGTGGGATGTTTGGGTTGTACAAATAGGATAATCACTAAGGTATGGTGTTGGTGGTTCTACAAAAGAGTTTGGGGTTTGTGGGATTATATTTGTATAGTATTATTACAGTATTGTTTGGAAGACCACGGAGTGGTCTAGTGATACCTTTCGGCGTATACAATTGATTGCTACATATTAAAACATCATTTTTCTATAATTTCGATGGCTTCTTTGCTTGCTTCTCCCACTCTGCAACCTTACTCGTAGCCTCTTCTTTCCTCTTAACTTCTCTATCCATATTTACTCCGTCCCTCTCTTCGTTCTGTGCGTGCCCTTCCAAATATCCCAAGCTCTCTCTCCACATCTCCGCCTTTAACACGCCATAAACACCAGTCTTTCCTTTCTCCAATAACTTGCGGTCATCAACTAGCTTTAACACTTCTTCCCATCCACCTAATATATCTACAAGTCCACCTTGGAGCGCCGCTTCGCCGTTGAAACGTTTTGCTTCTAGAACGAGGGAGCGGTAGGTAGAGGGAGAAGAGAGTTTTTGGCGGAATATAGAGGACATGGGGGGTTTAAGGGGCGCGCCGAATTCAAGCTCGTTAAGACAGAGAAAGCCCCGGCTTGGGTTGAAAACGCGGTAATCGGTGTACATGGCGGTCATGAGTCCGCCAGCAAATGCGTGGCCGGGGAGGAGGGAGATGGTAGGCATGGGGTAACTTTATTTTATCAAGGTGTTAGAAATACCCTATTACTAGAGAGACTGGAATTTATAGAATGAAAGTGAACTTACGTCAACAGCCTCTTCCAGAGCGCATAAAGGCTCTTTTCCCAAAATCCTTTGACCTCGGTCGCATGATTCAAATCTAAACCATTGGAAAAGAATTTGGGAATAGCGGAAGTAATGCAGACGGCACCGACGGGATAGGAGACTTCGAGGATATCGAGGGCATGCATGAAAGTTTGGCAGAAAGAAGTTGTGAGACGGTTATCCGGGGGCGAAGAGAAGGTGAGGAGGTAAAGGTTTGGGTGCGCAGGGGAGGGTGTAGTGCAGGTTAGAGTGCCGGGCTGGGATTGGAGGGGGGAGGATATGGGTATAGGGAGGGTAAAGAGGGGAGTAGTGGTAGACATGATGTGTGGTTGAATATTGAGATAGAGATAGAGATTGAAGGTAGAGAAGTATTATCAGCAGAGACGCGAAGTTGCGATTGTGAAAATGCAACAATCAGTCATCACCTATCATGCCGAGGTTCAAATAGCCTAGCCTTCTGGTGAAATGCCGTCTAACCTAACAGATCCGGACTTTGAGATTCAACAGCGGATGAATCGCTCTAAGATTACTTCTAGTCGCTTATATCTACACATTGAAAGTTTTCAGATCAAAAATACCTCTGGTTCTATATCTCAATGTTCTCGTCGATAACATCGCTCTTTCTTCGACATGTGAAGGTGCAGCTTGATAATTTTAGCACAAGGCTGAAGACCCTGGGCATATCCCTGTCAGCCTACCCACCTTTTATTACCAAAGAGCTTGCGACAAGTCTATCTGTCATTTCAATGATCAAACACAAACCCCAAATTTCTGCACGACGTCGTGATGGCTATCGCAGAAAAGCAGAAGACAATTGTGTTCTTCCATCCTGATCTAGGGATTGGTGGTGCCGAAAGACTCGTTATAGATGCCGCAGTAGGACTACAAAATCGGGGACACAAAATTGTTATATTTACCAGCTATTGCAATCCTAAACATTGCTTTGATGAAGCTCGAGATGGTTAGTTGGACGATGGAACCTTTGCTTTACGGTACCCAAGCTTATCCTGTATAGGTACACTTGATGTGCGAGTAAGAGGAAACTGGCTTTTCCCATCCTCAATCCTCTCTCGATTCTCCATCATTTGCGCCATTCTTCGACAGCTACATTTGATTGTGCAGGCCTACTTTACCTCTGAAATCAGCAATCTGAACCCTGATGCTTTCTTCGTGGATCAGCTCAGTGCTGGAATACCGTGGCTACGATACTTTTATCCCAATACTCGAATCTTCTTTTACTGTCATTTCCCGGACCTGTTACTCGCACAGGGAAGAACTCATTGGTTAAAACGCGCATATAGAGTACCTTTCGACTTCTTGGAGCAATGGAGTATGAGTTTTGCGGAATCAATTGCCGTCAATTCCGGGTTTACAAAGGGTATGGTGGAACAGGTATTCCCTGAATTGGCTAGGGAAAAAGATTTACAGATTGTACATCCTTGTGTGGATGTAAATCCAAAGAAATCTGAGACCAGCGATGATGCAGTTCCAGTCTGGCAGGATAGAAATATTTTGTTAAGCATCAATCGATTCGAAAAGAAGAAGGATATTGGTCTTGCAATCAAAGCATATGCAGGACTGGGCAAGCATGGAAGACAGGGAGTGAGATTGGTACTTGCTGGTAGGTCATATTTTGCTAGTGGTGAGAAGCATGCTGACACGATTGACAGGTGGATATGATAACCGAGTTATGGAGAACGTCGTATACCATAAGGAGCTCGTTAAACTGGCTACCGACTTGGGATTGAAGACAGCTACCACAAGGACTATCGTTACAGCATTAAATGTACCTGATGATGTGGATGTTCTGTTCTTGTTATCAGTACCAAATACTTTGAAGGAGATGCTACTCAATTCGGCACGACTTTTGATATATACTCCATCTAACGAGCATTTCGGTATTGTACCTTTGGAGGCAATGTTGGCCGGAGTACCAGTATTAGCCGCCAACACAGGAGGGCCACTCGAGACAGTAGTGGAAGGGAAGACAGGCTGGCTCTGTCCACCTGATGATGTTGAGAAATGGACGGCTGTCATAGATAAAGTCCTGAACAGGATGACGGATGATCAAGTTAAACAGATGGGAATTGACGGTGTAAAGAGGGTTAAGAATGAATTTTCTGATGTCAAAATGGCCGAGAGAATTGATGGGTTGATTGATGGAATGGCAAATACACCCAGGAAGAGTGCTCTGCAACTCTCCACGTTCTTGCTCACTATTATTGTGGTAGTATTGGACATTGCATCCTGGGGCTTGGGTCAGAACAAATCAGTCAGCAAAAAGCTGGACAAGTTTTTGTTGCCTCCATTCGTTCTCACCCTAGCGTCATTAATATCGTGGGGTGTATATTTTATAGTTAATTCTCAGATCAAGTCGAGTTCGCGGCAGCCGACTAGATGAGGATGATTAGATTATTAAATGCATTGATAACATCCCACTCTGTAGATCTTGCGGCAAGGATATATATATGCGTATCATTGAGAAAAAAGGGGTATGATGAAATTGATGAAATATGATTGGCTGGAGCCCGCTGAGACGAATGGGGTTTTTCCTGACACCAACAAATTTCAATATAGCACAACATACAGCATACAATCCCACATATAATATATACTCTATGACATTCGTTTATTGTTTTTAATATCGAGTCAGTATAGATACCAAGGCACCCTGGTCTAGTAAAAGAAGATTATAAATTGTATTACTGTACTTCCCTAAAAGTCCAGACTCTCTCTACCATTCATCTTGAAACCTCCAAAAATCGCCAATTTGCCCCACCACCAGTCAATATAACGCGTGTTTTGTCTCGACACCGTTCTCTTATCATTCACTCATTCACAACTGAGTGGAACCGTATCTTCATATACTGTTACCAATCAACACGCCAATCATTACCACTCACTTGGGTTTCCACATAGCCAAAGCCGACATATAGTTCCCGGAGCTGCAAGCCCCCAAAAACTTTACACTGCACGAAGTTTGCGAGGTACGAAGCAATTCTTGGATCACCCGCCAACCAATCGAACCCGTTGCATTACCCACGATTGCATATCCTGGTGTCATTAAAAGGGTTGACATAGTGAGATACTGGGGTAGTGGTTCTATCCGTCGATATCCGATACCGTACTTGAACGCTTGATCTGTCTGCAGGGAGCTCCTTCTACATACGTATACCCATACTTAAAGATGTTGTTGCTTAAAAGTTCTCCCTCGCCCATGGCGACTGGGAGAGTTTCGACACGAACTCTTTTGCATGTCTTGAAAAGTGGTAGATTCAGGGGCGCGATGGGGGATTTACAAGCACCATTGTTTAATCACGTGCTGCAGAGGTCCCACAGTCTAAAGAGTCTCAAGAAGGTGGAGAAGTTCGGCTCTGTTGTCGTTGGCACTGGGCCAGCTGGACTTGCGGTTGTGGGTAATCTTTTGGAACAGAAGAAAGGTCCAGTTCTATGGGTTGGAGACGCTAATCTTCCGGGGGGTGGTAGATTAGACCGAGCGTATCGAGCGGTGCCTTCGTGAGTTCTGTCCTTCTCTCTATCGGTCGAATCTTGAGTACAAATCTAATGATCACCTGCCATAGCAACACGAAAGCCAAGTTCTTTTCTATGTATGCAGATGCTTTGGAACCTTTCAAGCAAATCACAAGTGAAGCTGCTACTCCTAACGCTTATAGCGTTTTGCAAGATCTTGATCAAGAAAAGACTTGTCACATTGCTGAAGCTGCTGATTTAGGGTTGATGTTGGGAGCCGGGCTTCTCAAAACCGAGGGTGTTTTTGGAGTCAGTAATGGCACAGTCGAAAGTGCTTCTTGGTCCGATGTAAGTTCAGTGTCTAGGTTAAATTTTTTGCAAGCTAATGCCAAATAGACCAAGGGCTGGAATGTCAAATTCAGTGCCTCAGGGAGTAAAACACGTTCAGTTTCCTCTGATCTCCTTTTCTTATGTACTGGTTCTCACCCCAGTTGGAATAGGCTTGAACTTGATCAATCTAGCAAGCGTATACCTAGCTTTGCTCTTGATAGATGTTTGAAGCCTTCACTATTGAGGCAAAGTATTCGTTTTGCTATGAAAAAGAATCCAGATCCAACTCAACCCACCACCATTGCCGTCATTGGTGCATCTCACAGTGCAATTCTCGTACTGAGAAACCTTTACAATCTCGCCACTTCCCCTGACCAGGAATTCCAGAACCTTCGCATCAAATGGTTCACTCGCCATGAGCTTCGATATGCCGAGGAGCGTGATGGATGGATCAAACGCGATAACACGGGTCTCAAGGGTGAAGTCGCTACATGGGCAAAGGAGAATCTCGAGGCCGATACATTACCCACATCTGACGTATCCAAATACCTCGAAAAAGTAAAGACCTCGGCAGAAGCCGAGAAGGAAGACTACGAGAAACATTTACCCGGATGTAACTGTGTGGTGCAGGCTATCGGGTTCACCAAGAACGAGCTTCCAACTATTGAGAGGGATGGTACGCCGTTGGAGATTACTTACAATCATGAGACCTCAGAATTTGTGGATGCTGAAGGAAAGACGATCAGGGGGTTGTATGGTGCTGGAATTGCGTTCCCGGAGAAGGTCGTGGATCCTGAAGGAACAACGGAGTACGCCGTTGGCCTGTGGAAGTTTATGAAGTATTTGAAGAGGGTTGCGCCAACATGGACTGCATAAGACGAGATGCTGTGATACTACCATGGTGGTAGGAGATGCTGCATGATCAGTGATGTAATGAGATAGACTGTTTGGTGCCTTCAAGTTCAAATTGTACATACCCTGATGCAAGCCCTGTACCTATTGTCGCAAGTATAAGATAGCGAAGAAAGAATATTGCTACTCAACATTATACCCTTCCTTTCATCGTACAGCTATTATGGGCGCCTTTTTAATGTGCTGCTTGAATACATGTATATTGACCTCGAGCCTCGACATCACTTCATAAACTGAATATATACAATAAATACCTCGAACTTATTATGTCCCATGGCAAATTCATGTTGCACATCAAACCCAGGGCATATAGCCCAACCAATCTTACCTACTTCAAGCAGCACATTTTCCTTCCATCTTCCCCATGTCGCCATCAAACATTTCTCAGTGCTCATCGTGCTCATCGCAAGCTCCATCCAAGTATAAACTTCGTTCCTGTTTGTAGAGAATTCAAGCATATTGAGTCTAAATACTGGAGATTTTGGAACTTCCCTTAAACCTTTACACAAAGTGTGCTTCTGCATGATTAAGGTTATAAGTATGAAGAGAAACTAGCACTTCTTTTGGGCTGGTCGTATTAGACTGTTCCTTTAACATCGTTTGTTCGTTCATTTAACTATTAGTATCTCCTCCGCGGTAGGCTGAACTAAAACTGTCTCCTCATTCTAGTAACTTATATCTGACGCAGAACCGGCGCTTACTCCGTATTACAATAGACGAGGGAGTTCTATGTTTCATACCTATCTCTGCGTGTTTATGTGCATGTGCGTATCTCGTACCCACGAATGCGAAACTTCTTGCCATAAGACGGCATCTATTGGATCTATTAGATGTTAAGGTATGGGCATTGCTTGGTGACGTAGCGATCTGATCTTCAAAGGTGATGGTCGTCGAGTTACTAAAGACTACTTCAAGTTTTCTGTCATCGAGATTCTCATGGTGCGAACGGAAAGTTTTGGAGAGGTTGACATCGTTTGGATTACAAGATAAGGTAGTAGATTTAGAAAAGAGGGGGTCGACAGTATTGACTTCCTTAGGCGAGAGAATCGCATCTTCTGATTTTTCGTGCGATCCAAGGGATAAGCTCATAACGACGAGATACGAAGAGATCTTATTGCATTTGATGTCCCGGCTGAGCAAACTCGATAAATTCATGAGGAGGAGTGACAGGGAGTTTCGGAATAGCATATGGGATTTGAAAGGTAAGATCGACTGATTACATTGGTTGTGGTAAGGAGGTGATCTTCTGAACCAGATTTGATATCAAATAACGCTTTGCAAAGTAATTGGCTCCAAGATAGAAGTGACACGATTGCCCTTGATTCTAAATCTAGTAGGAGATTGATTTGTAAGAAATAATGCCGGGTTGTGCAGTAAGATCTGTGTCTGGATGATATTGAAATTGTGGATGACAATTGAATAGTAGAAAAGATCATCGAGGGAGAGGAAAGAAGGAAAGGGTGACCACTCAGTTAGCTCTGGAGTGGGTACAATTAATGAATTGACAACAAAGAGTTTCTTGATGAAACAGTCACGTTTTGATTGTTTGATAAAAAGGTAAGGAAACAAAAGCAAGCGAAAAGGGAAGGAGAAGAGAGGAGAGGAGCTAAATTCCTCTAGCTTAATGGCCTTCTTTCCTTACAAGATGATAGATAACATTGTAGGAAGTCAGCGTGTTTTTCTGCATCGAATTCTGCTTCTTCTCCTCGATTGTCTCTTCATCATTCCCAATTGTATTCCCAATTTATCCATTTTCGTCAATTAATCTCCTCCATTTGATCTAAAGACTTCCTGTTGCTCCTACATTAATAATCCAACGAGTGTGAATGAATGGTATCAAATTATTTCTCAAAAATCTCTATTATATTCATATCTTCATCAAAGCTTGTCGGTCCAGATGGAATCATCCATTTTCACAGACCAAAACAGAAGATCCTTTTGGATGGACATTAGCATTGTGCATCATGACTACACGAAGTCACTCTTGGAATGGCGCTATGGTAAGAAGACAAAATCCATCTGAAAGCTTCTCTCATGATTTCCGAGAACAATGATACAGTTTTCCTTCGATTTAATTATTTGCGCATACTCCATTACAATTGGCGATAGTGAGGAATATCTAATTTACATCATATCAGCCAGATGTTCGGTTGGCAGATGGAAGTCAAAGAGAGTGATTACTAGCCTATACCATTGGCATCAACGAAATACTGGGTACCAGAAACCATCAGTTGTGTCAATATTTCTTGCTAATTGAGCCACGAGGTATCAGGAACTGTTCAATTTTTGTAAAAGGAATTCATTCAGTAGCTGCGTTTCCGTTGAACGTCGTTTTTACCTTTAACTCCACGGGTTCCTGCTTCTGTCCTCCACAACAAACATATGGGCCGTTTAGCGGGGCATTTTGGGGCCATCCTCGCGAAGTCGCAATTTCGCGTTGAAGTTTCTATCAAAGTGTTAATGATGTGTGTTTGATTCCAAAATCATCTTGCCTTTCCGTTATAACAAACTCTTATATGACCCAGCTTCATTCCAAGTATTTGCCTATCATTGTTAGTAATTTCCTTCACCCCAACTTCTACTCTCGATTACTCACATATCCTTCTCGGTGATGTCCTTCACCACCTTCCAATTATCAAATCCGGCTTCCACCAAGCGATTCAGATAACATAGCATCTGAAGTCTTATAAGTATTAACTGAACTTCTCTGTCTGGAGGATTCATATCTGGCAGATCCATTTTTGGTAGATCAAAGTTCGAGAGATCCATAGCAGAAAAATCCATCTTTGGGAGTTACCTATTGCGAAGTTCTCCAAGAAGATATCGAAAAATGAAAGTCTAGATTGCGAGAAGCCGAGGACGAAGCTCCGTGCGCCTTACTTCAAATGCAGTGAGCAGGATAATGCCAACTTTAGTTGCGTGTTGAGATTCTAGCGGCCTAATCACCTATTACCTGTCAACCCTGTATACCGGGTTTGATACCACGTTCGGCCTCTCTTCCTATTTGACCTGCGCACCTCGAGTGCAACGCTTGACCATGATATACAACCCTTGTATAAACACACAGACGCGCTAGTTCTTTGATACGCTCAAAGGCCATGATATGGTACTATACCATCCAAAGAATGACAATAACTACCAACAGCAGGAAGTCTTCCTCGAGAAGACTCCCCAAATATACACATGGAAAGGCGTCTTCCAAGGACATTCCCTCCATTAACAATGTGTGACTACCACCCCCGCCACCTATTACCACACCTCATTCAAACGTCCTCGAAGCAATCGGGATCCCCGTACAGAGTATGATTATAAACTGAACCAACCATGCCTTCGGAGATACGTCCGGTGTTCGCTTCGTCTGGGCACGAGCCACATTATAGGAAATGTGGAATGTTAATGCTGGCACGGGAGTTCTACGTGCGACTTTTCACGAGATATCACTGGATTGCGACTCTGGAAGTCATGTCGCGATTCAACGTTTTATTATCGAGCATTCGGGATCGCACCTCTCCCCGGGTTCGGAAAAAGCCACGTCCGAGACCGGTTGTGCAACGCGGGGAGTACAGAAGGGGGAAATGTTTGAGGTCGGTAGGTTGCACCATTGCACGAACAATCATTTTTATACTATGCATTTATCATCTGATTATGGGGAATTCCTGTTGATGGATGATGTCACTTGGTCATCATTCATATTGTTGGTTTGAGAAGAGTACGTATGACATAAGACCTACGGTGTAGGTTTCCAGTTGTCAATGTGTATTCAATCTGAAGAGCTAGCTAATTACAGGAAGAAGCAACCCTTACATAGGCCATGCTATAGGACTAGCTCATTTTTAGTAGGCTATAAATGACTTGAGGCCATTTATTCAGCCTTTGTTCACACACATATTTTGATAAATTGTTTGAAATCTCTAGGACGTCGCTTCTTATTCGAAGAATTTATAAATATCTTGAATGTCTCACATGGCTTGAATAAACTAAAGCACCCATATGCACTGCATTTCTGAACTGTGGCGAGTCTCTCCACGTTACAGTCGTTGCCACGCAAACACGGCGAAAAGGGGATATCAATTAATATTACTTTTTGTTATATTAAACAATAGCTATATCTCGGAGGAATCAATTGGTGTAAAAGAAAACAATGTACCGATAGTTGATTTATAAGTATATTAAGATAGTAGAATAACGTGCATCTCTTCAAGGAGGGTGAACTTCCCTATTGAACTTAATCCTGGCGAAGATATATTCCTAGGTTATCGCCCAAAGAATGGATATGGATACAGAACTGCGAAGAAGGGTTTCACTTGAATGAAAGAGTCAGAGCTCGAATACACCTTTATACTAATTCTCAGCTCAAGAACTCAAGAACTAAAGAGCTCAACACCCTACGTTTCGACAGGGCGAGAAGATAGACAAAATTCAACGATGCAATACACGCATCAAACATGTCACCCAAAGCACTACGCGCAAGAAAAATCGCGTACAAGGTAAATCATCATTCTATTTGTTCTTGATCTGCGCACTGTCATTATGTTTTGTACTCCAGATATCGTCTTCGATCTCCCTTCTAGGATTGTCCAATCAACCGGATTTCCCTCCTGCCTTCTTTCCTTCCTGCTATGATGTTTCATGCTACCTCAAATCCAGCAAGGTAGTCGCTTTAGTGCATACAAATCCGATTAAAATGTTGATCTCATTGTTGTCATTACCTCCACTATCAACGGGAACTCTTCGTCTACCCATTTCTTCCACAACTCCTTCCTCTCCACTACCGATATGTATCTTCTCCAACCAAGAAACCCATCATACAAGCATTATCCGCCACCCACCACACTCCCTTCAAGCTATCTTCCCCGCTCTCACCATATCACATGAAGAATCAAAACTAAAAATCTCTATTTGAGCATAATAAAAATGTGTTTCCTCCCAGACGACAGAAAGAAGAATCAAAAAGCAAAATTGCAAAGATCATTCGCTAGTCTAAACAAGCAAATAAGCAAATTGGAGAAATGCAAACATCAATACCGTTCATTGCCATTTTCGTTTCGCTCCATAAAACACCTTCGCCAATTCAAAATATCAAAAAAAAAAAAAAAAAGCAAAAATGGTCTTCGGTGGCGCAAAAGTAAAAAACAGTAAACAAGTTGGAAAACTTTGTGGTATCTCGTAAAATCGCGGGACGTTAAATTATAAGGAAATAAATTGGTGAGTATGGTGAAGCAAAAGTTCGATTCTAGACCTCCACTTTCATACTACAATCGCGATATTTGAATGTTGTTTGCGAGGAGTGCTCGCAGTTTTCGCGGGTTTGCGGTGAGATGTTGTGGCAAGTGAATTCGTTGAGATAAATTACAGTGGCGTGTATTAGATGTAGATGTAGATAAGATGGGAATAAATCGTAAAGCGAAAGCCAGTAAAAGCGACGTAAGCAATTGCAGTTTGGAAGTGTTGATACAGGGCTTCGGATTATTCTTTTAGAAACAATTCAAACTGCCCTTCTTCTTTTTCTTACTACTAAGAGCATTCATACGTTCTTCAAGGTGAGCTCTTGCGAGCTCTGCCTCTTTCCTCTTCCGCTTCTCTTCTTCGACTTGCATTAAGCTCCAACGATTTTCCTTCTCGGCATCGCCATTCTTGGCCTTTTCCTCGGCAGCTTTCAATTCAGCTTCCAATTCATTGGCACGTCTTCGCCATGCATCACAATCGGCTTTGACCTTGTTGCTTTGTTTCTCGAGATCTGTGAGAGCTTCTTCGAGGGTGGATGTGAGTTGCTTTTCGGCGAACAGGTGCTTCTCGATAGTGCGGATACGAGCTTCTTGGTCCTCTTGAATTTGAGTTGCAGCGATGTCTTTACTATTGCGAGTATTGAAGCTACTTTGTGTAGGTGTTGGCGGAACTGGTGATGTTGAAGGAGCGGGTCCTGTCTGGGCAGTTCCCGAATTTCCAGGTAGTGGCGGCAAAGGAATTGCCGGGGGTGGTGATGGAAGTGATGTCACGGATGCAGATTTGTGGAGTCGTGAAGTGAGCGAGTTGGAACGCTTGTTGTTGGCGTCAGATTGCAAAAGTTCGTGATATTTGGCCTATTGAATGAGTCAGACATACTTAATACATAAAATGAACTCGAGCTTCGCAACTTACCTGAAGAGTGGCGTGTTCCTCTTTCATTGCATCCAGCTCAGTCTGGGCAC